CGATGGACTGGGCGGTGATGTTGGCGATGTTCTCCTCACTCACGCTATACCTGATGGGCAGGCAAATCAAGGGAAGACCCAATGACGCGGGTCATCATGTAGGTGTGTGTACTGTGTGTTGGCGTGTCGGCCGTTCACTTACTCCAACTCTTTGGTGCTCATGAGGGCCCCCTTTTTGACGAACATCGGCCCGCTCTCCACCGGCACCACACGCAGGTACACCTCCTGCAGCAACTCCCCACGAGCCGCTATGATAGCCCGGTGAGGTGTTGCTGCCTGAATACATGTAATTCAACGCACATCCAGACGAAGAGACATGTCAACAAAAAAGAGAGGGCAGGAAGGGGTGTGTGCGTACCCGCGCCCATAAAGAGATCCAGTACAATGCTCCCGCTGACGACGTTGTTGGCCACCGTCTGGGCGGTGATAGCGCGAGGTTCTCCTGCGCCCTGTCTGAGAGCATAGGGCACACACACATGCTTCATCTGTGTGTGTGTGATGTGATGTGATGTGGTGTGGTGCATTCAGACGTACTCGAGCTCCTCTGTCGACATCCTGGCGCCCTCGGCTGCTGACCTCCTCCAGCGTCACGTCGACGACAGACAGACACCACACTCACGCGCCTCCCGTCCGTCCATCCACTCCTCCATCCGGCCGATCTGATCAGCCTCTCGTCTGTCTGCCTGCCCGCCTCCCTGTGTAATCCAGTCAGTCACACGAGCGGAGCTCAGCCATGCAACTAGCACATGTGTGTGAGTGTGTGTGTGTGTGTGTCTGGGAGATGCATGGATGGCATGCAGCCCAGCCCAGCCCAGCCGTCGTAGTGTAGTCAGTTAACTGTAGATGAGCTGGAGCCGCTCGGTGGTGTGGCTGGCGCCGCTGTGGACTAAGCTCATCACACGGTCTTCAACGGTCGTGTGTCCGGCTGAGCACTTGGTGTAGGAGGACTGGGGCAATTTCTTGGCGATGCTGCAGACAGACGAAAATACACACCGACACGTAGACAGACAGACAGACACACATACATACTGGTCAACAGTCGTTCGTTGGTTCGTGCGGTGTGTGTGGCACGCGTGTGTTGTGGACAGACAGGAGATTCCATCCGTCGCACTCACTGACCGGTCTGCGATATTGCCGAGGTATACTGTGATGAATTTCAGGAGGTAGTTGAAGCGCTTCCCCCTGGCGGCGGGCAGTCTCGTGACGTAGGCCTCGATGACAGGGGGCCGGTAGGTGAACAGGTGCGTCCCGCTCCGATGGAACTCCCGTGTGGCCTCCCAGGCCGCCAACTCGGCCTACATTACATATGTACAAAAATACATGGGAGGGAGGCACAACAAACAGACAGACAGACAGACAAACAGACGGAGAGTGGAAGAAATGTGAGGGACACAGTTGAAGACGTCACCCTCCCTCCCTCGTCTGTCTGTCTTTGCGTGCGTACCTGCGCCAAGGTAAGTAAGCTGTTGTCCTAATGCGAACCAACCAACGAACCAAACCAACCAGCAAGGAAGAAAGCCCGCCCTGTCTGTCTGTCTGTCTGTCTACGGTCCCAAGCAACAAACGACAAACAAGACCCTCACAAACAAACAAGAAACAAAGAAGAGCTAGCTAGCTACTCACAAAGAGACACGTACACAAACACATACACGCATGCATGCACGGCTGGCGGTCTCTGTCCAGTATGTTCTCTATTCATTTCATATGCTTGCCATAAGTCTGTCTGTCTGTGCAGGAGCGGAGGAATTAGTTGATCGATGATTGTGATATGTTAAGGGCGAATTACGGAGGGGAGAAGGCCGTCGGGGGGGTTGTGTGGTTGTTTGTGTGTTGCCGTGGCGTCGATGCGCCTCCACAAGTCGGGGCCGGGTTTCGTTACCATTTGTTTGAAGCGTAGAAGGCCATGAGGCGGGCGGGCGATGAGGCGATGGGCGTCGATCGAGAGATGAGGAGGAGAGGAGGAGAGCTTTGGCGCTTTTCCCTTCTTTCTCGAGAGAGAGTCTGACGATGGGGGGGAGCTTCCGCGGACGCGCCTTGTCGTCTGCGGCGGCGCTACATACAGAATGTACTTGACTTTTCTCTTTTTTTCGTCTCACCGGCTTTGCTCTTCTTTTCCTTCGTCGACTGAGGATCGATTCGCATGGGGGAGACACCTGCACAGCACACAAACACATACACCAACACAAACCATGTCTGCTGTCGTTGAGGACTTCGTCGAGAAAAGGAGACGACCATTTGGAGAAAGAACACAAGCATGCCAACAGGGCACAGTGAGATCACCACAGCAATGAGACGGACTATGCAGTCATCCTTGAACACCGTCATACACCATACCGCAACAGCCAACAGAAAAAAAGAAGGTACTCACCTGGGAGGCTGCTTTGAAGACAAAAGAAGCGTGCGCGCACTCAGCTGACGCCAGACAGTCGCCAGTGACTCGCCACCGTTCAGCCTAAGGCAGGGCGCCACCGGCGGAGGCCTCGCTCGTGGCCCGGCGGCAGAGGAAGGAAGTGGCGGGTGAAATCCGGACGAGTTGGGAGGGGTAGAGGGGGACGAGGCGGACCACACAAGCCAAAAAGCAGATGAAAAGACAAAGAAGCGGGGCATCTGTGGCCGAAAGAAGGCTGCAAGGCGACGCGGAGCCAAAAATGTGAAGAGCGGGACGAAATATTGTCTCGCAATCGAATTTTCTCGTCCCGTCTCCAATTCTCGCCGAGGGAGAATCATTGCTACGAATCATGATCTGTCTTTTTGCAAGACGCTGGCTCCGGAGAAACGCAATAAGCCCTCAGCCGAGGGGAAGCGAGACGCCCGGGATCTCGCCCCCACGTATTCCCTCAACCTGCAAGCGAGCGGGCAACGACAGCGACGAACGACTGTATGCAAAACAGACGTCCTCATGGATTTAGTGCAGGGCGGACAATATTTCGCCGAGTGCGTGTGACATTCGACTGAAGAATAGTATTCAAAACCCGGCTTCACTCAAATAAGCAAATGCTATCATACACACTCACTGGCGGCCGTTCGAAAAGACCGACCACGAGTACTACTGCACACTGCTGTCAATGACGACCGACTTGTTTGGTCGTTCGTTGACGGTGAGAGTGAAGATGTCGGGGCGGTTGTAGTGGCCCACCACATCAAGGTCCATCTTCCCTCGCACCACCTGCACACACCCACGACAGATGCGAGTGTGATGCGTGTGTGGGCGTGTTGATGGATGGATGGATGGACACACCTCATCGAGGTCGATGTCCGCCACAAGCACTCCTTCCTCGCCCCACAAAGGACCCGCCACAACCTTGCCAAACGGAGAGATGATCTGACAGACCCCCCGACACACATCCACACACGCGCAGTCATCCACTACACTCGTCGGCGTGAAAGCTCGTTTGTTGAGCACTCACCGCGCTGCCTCCCTTGAAGAGCGGCGCACTCGCCCCCGGCTCTGTGAAATACTGCACCGCTGTCAGCACCCAACACCGGCCCTCGACAGCGATGTGCTGGCAGGTGGGCAGCCAGGTGTCCCGGTCGTCAAGTGTGGGTGCGCAGTAGACCTCCACCCCCTTGCCGTAGAGAGCCGTGCGAAGCAGGGGCATGTAGTTCTCCCAGCTATAGACGTGACAGACAGACAGACAGACTCAAATGAATGATTGCGGGCCCGATGGCAGGTCGATTGCCTACCATATGGCGGCTCCGATGCTTCCAAAAGGCGACTTGATGACGGGCAATGTGCTCCCATCTCCTCGCCCCCACACCAGCCGCTCAGTATCTACACACACACATATATGCACAGGTTTGCAAAGCTCCTATCCCTCCCTCTCTCTCTCTGGAACATTAGCCCACCTGTGGGCACGAGCTTCCGCCTCTTGCCCACCAGCTGCCCCTCATTGTCGAAAAACAGCGCCGAGCAGTAAAGTGTGCAGGCCTCCTTGTCCTTCTCAATCACCCCAAGCACCATGTACACACCGAGCTCCTTGGCCAGGCCGGCCAGCCGCTCCGTCTGCGGCGATGGCACCTCGATGGCGCCCTCGACATACCGCCGATACACGTCCTTGCTCTCTGGTGTGCCCGGAACAAACCCCTGCACACAAACACCGACACACACGCAGAAAGAGAGGTACATAAGAGATAAAGATCTATGCAATCGGGTCTAATCGGGTCCGTACCAGTGCCCGTGCGTAGCCTCCGATGAGCGCCTCAGCACCAACCACCAGCTTGGCGCCCTGCTCTGCCGCCTGCGCAACCTTTCTCCGCACCACGTCAAACGTGAGGTCAAAATCGAAGATGCCGTCTTTGATAACAGGGCCTGCCTGAAGCACCGCTGCCTTATAACGACGCTCTGATGCCATGCGCCTCTCTGGGAAGTAGGATCCTGCCCATATGGGTCCTACGGCGTCGAGATGGAACATGGAGCTGTCGAGCTGTGCTGGATGCTGAACCGGGCTTGCTGCTTGCTTGCCGTAATGCTCCTGCGGATCTATCGCTCAAAAGGATCGTTTGCACATAGAAGCTCGCGGAAGAGGAAGGAAAAGAGGAGGCTGGGACAAAAAGCAGCAGCAAGACGACCAGACATCATCATCCTCCACTCTTGACTCATTCATTTACTGGCGGCAGCTTCTCCAACTCACATAGGTCAGCAACCGCGCAATGGCATCTGGAGGTCCTGCGTTCGGCTGTGCAGTGGTGATTGGCATCGGGCCTGGTCTCGGCACATCAGGTCAGCGAGTCAATCAAAGTACCAGTCTGAGATCTGTAGGTTCTCCCTTGCACCGAGATCTGTGATTTGGTGTTTGCGCTGCAGTGGCGAGAAAGTTCGCAAAGGAAGGGTATCCAGTGGCTCTCGTGGCGCGGTCAGAAAAGCACCTCAAGCCCTTACAGGCCACCATCGAGAAACAAGGTGCACACCTGACTTACAGGCGTCTTTGGCGGATGCTTTTGTGTCCGAGTGCTTGGCGTGTGTATGCAATGCAGGTGGCAAGGCCCTCAGCGTGTGCGCCGACGCGTCGAGTGAGCAGAGCTTGAAGGACGCCTTCGGTGTCATTCGCTCTCAGTTGGGCGACGTAGAAGTGCTGGTACGGTGGGTGCATGACAGCAGATATGACATGCAGAGAGCTCTTACTCTCTCTCTCTCCGTCTGTTTGAGATGCAGGTGTACAATGCCGGCGGTGGAATGCCGTCGTGGCCGCCACCGCCCGTCATGGAGCTTGACACGGCGGTGTTCGTCAACAACCTGCAAGTCGGTACGTGTTGAGCCTAGCTGTGGCTGCACCGCGTGTGAGAACGTATCAGTGAGCCATCCATCCATCCATCCATCTGTGCACTGTGTGCCGGCAATGCATCATTGCAGGCTGCACCGGCGCCTTTGTCGCGATCAAGGAAGTGCTGCCAGCCATGACAAAACACAAGAAAGGTAGGTTAGGTAGGAAGGAACCACACACACACACACACACAGACAGACAGACAGACAGAGCCCAGACACACGGCGCTGTCTGTCTGTGTGCCAGGCACCATTCTGCTGACCGGTGCGACGGCGAGCCTGAGAGGCGGGGCGAGGTTCGCTGCTCTGGCCGTGCACAAGTTCGCTTTGAGGGCTCTGGCCCAGTGTGTGGCTCGCGAAGTGCAGCCCAATGGCGTCCACGTGGCGCACATCGGTAAGCAGGTGTGTGTGAAGCAAAGTGTCTGCACATCCACGGGCGGGTATCTATGTTTGTGTCTGTCTTTTTCCCTCGTTGGCTACAGTGATTGATGGGCAGATCGGGGCGTCCTATGCAGACGAGGGCGAAATGACTTACCACATCCGAAAGTCGTAGGCACACACATCCACACACTCACACGCCCATGCCCATGAAAGCACCTGCCCATGTGTCTGTGTGGTTGCATCCGATCCATCCATCCATGCAGTCAGCCCGACCGTGCTGAGGACAGCTTCCTGAACCCCGACGCCATAGCGGCCACCTACTGGCACCTGCACACCCAGGACAGAACAGCATGGACTCACGAGCTGGAACTCAGGCCGTACGTCGAGAAATGGTGACACTGCCAGGACATCTCCCTCTGTCTGCCGCTCTCCCATTTGGTTCTTTGAAATTGATCGGTCGGCCTTCCTCTTTTTTCGGGGGCATTTGAATGGCACCGCTTTGTTTGTTTGTTTGGTGAGTGTGTCGAGGCATTTGGTCGGCCGGTGTATAAGTGTAGCGGATGAGGTGTGTGGACTGTAATGCCAGGCGGGTGAGGTGCACACAGGCTGGGCTGACTGTTTGAATGCAAGTCAAGACCCACTATGGGTCCTCTCCCATTGTGTCTGTGAGTGCCGGTCAGTCGCACACTGCCGCAGCCGCAACAGGAAGCGGCTCTCTGATTGAGAGCCAGCCAGTCAGTCAGTCAGTGTTTCTGTGCCGCCCACTCTCTGTGTCTCGGTTGCTCACACTCGCACAAAGCCCTCCATACAACCACGAGAATAACATCGGGAATTCATCAAGTGCATCGTAGCAGTCTTAGCAAACAGAGGCACTGACAGACAGACACCCTTACATTCAGACATTTACCGACCCAGGGGCCAACGCACCTTCCTCTGCCCTCAGGCTGGATGGATGTGTGCCTCCTGGTACATCCGTGTAACCCTCCAGGAGCAGGCTTACGAACCTTCCAGCGAAAGAGGCTCGTCTGTCTCTCCTTGAGGGACCCAACGCACGCAGACAGGAAAGACCACACCACACCAGTGTACACCCACATGCACACACAACCGCATACGAGCCAAGAAACACGAAAAGACACGGGAGATGACGTGGAAAAATCCGGCCGACGTCAGAAAACACGCAGCAATCACATCACATCACATCACATCACATCAGGTGACCGGACACCGTGCAAGCCAGCGCCTCCCCGCTCGCGGCTGTTGCTGTTTCTCCCTCAAATCAGGCCCCCTGTGACTTTGCCGGTGCGAGAGGCGTCAGCTGGTAGAAGCGCCAGAAGCCGTTGTGGTGCACCTCCTCCACATCGTAGCCCGCCGATTTGGCGATGGCGCGGAGCGTACTCGGCTGCGCACGGTCGTACACACCACACAGGTATAGAAAGTGGTGGAGGGGTGGGTGTGCTGGGGATTTGGTGGGGTGGGGGACGATTACCCTGATGGCTGTGCCGATGGCAGCGGATGAGTGCCAGCACTTGGAAGCGGGCAGGCAGTGCAGCACACTGAAGCCGTAGTTCAGTCGACCCAAGAAATTGTTGGGCTCATCCGACGGCGAACCGATCTAACACACAGACACAAGACACATGGATGGATGGATGGATGGATGGATGGGCCCACTGGCTCACTGACCTTGGTAGGGTCTTTGGGTAGCATTTCTTCCTCAGTGTCCGGGACGCCCTCGTCAGCGACAAACACGATACCGTCGTCGTGCAGCAGCGGGAGCAGGGACTTGAGCACCGTCTCCGGATTGTGCATGTCGTGCAGCGACTCGCAGATCATTATCAAATCGTAGTCGCCGTCGGACACCTCGTGGGCGTACTTGTGGTGGAGCGCTATGCGGTCACTGACGCCCTCCGCCTCGATATTCTGACGCGCCAATTCAAGCGACTTCCTGGCACGCACAATACGATCGACCACTGGTTGTTCGTGCGTGTCGGTTGTGTGTCCCGCCCTCCCTCCCTCCCTCTCTCACTCGTCTAGGTCTACGGCATCGATGACGTTTGTGAGATGGGGCAGCCCCTTGGCCAGCGTGATGGTGCTCCACGCCTCCCCACACGCTGCCACACACACAGAGGGAGAGAGAGAGAGAGGGGGGGGGGGAGAGAGGGCATCTTGCATGAGAATGGTGGGGTGTGCTGTGTGGATAGCGAGCACTCACTCACTCACTCACCGACGTCGAGGATCTTCGCCCCGGGTGTCTGCAGCTTGTCCCACACCTTCGTCTTTGGCAGCCACTCCTGCAGCATCTCGTGCTTGTACAACGGCCGATTGCCCTCACTGATGCCCTCCAACAGGTCCGGCCCGTAGTCATGGTAGGGCATGCCGCCACCCGTCCTGCACGCTCACACACACACAGATGGACGTGCAGCGGACGGCAACACCACTCTCTCTCTCTCTCTCACCGAAAGGCCTCCTGCAGTGCGCCGAGTATCGGTGTGATGGACGGCAGGAAGCACGTGAAGGCGGCGCAGTAGTTGGGATGCTCCCTGTCACAGAGGGCCGACGCGTGGCCCGCCGGCAGGATGAAGGCCGCCTCATCGTTTGGCGCCTTGATCAGGTACCCCTGCACGGCACACGACTTGAGGAACTCGACGATGTACCTCTCAGACAGCTGCATCTTCGTCGCCAACGCACTGGCTGCACAGAGAGACAAACACGCGCAGCATCGCCATCGCCATGCACTCATGAGTGTGTGTAATTCATGAGTTGGCTGACCTGTGACGGGCGTTTCGGTGCCGAACGATCTCATGGCGTCGAAGATCTTGAGGCGGTGGCCCAGATACAGCTGCAGCACTCCCATCGACGCTGCGCACAAGAGGAAACACACACGCGCGCAGTGTCCCGTGAGCCTTTTCACGTTCCCTACTTGCGAGATCATTGATGAGACGCTCCTGAAAGCCCGCCGCATCCATGATGTCGACGAAAGAGGGACAACGCCGATCTGGCACACCTGGCAAGGGTTTCACAAAGCACCCTAGGCGGCCAGAGCTGAGCGAGCTTAGAAGTTTCAAGCAGCCCGTTGCGTCCGCGCACATTCATGGGAAGCAGCATGCCGGCACGGTACGCCTTTCATCTCTGCTGTTCATCTTTGTGCAGCCTTCGTGTGTGTCCAAAGGCGGCCCTCTTCTGCACGTGATGACGTGATGGGCGTGATGGCATCCATCCCATGACATCAGCTGCTACAAGCGGCCATGAGTGCCATGAGCATGCTGCGAGTGTTGACCGTGGTTTGGAGGTGCGTCGGTCTCTCATCCGCGGCGCTGGAATGGGGCTCTTCGCTTCCAAGGCATTCAGACGGGGAGAGGTGCTCTGCGAATACACCGGCACTGTGCTCACTCTCAGGTGAGAGGGGGAACGAACCATGGGGCAAGGCCATCCATCCATCTCACACGGGGAGGGTCGATGGATCTGTGTGCCTTGTGTGGTGCAGGCAGCTGCTGCAGCAGAGGGACCGGACTTATGTGATGGGCGGCTTCGGACTCAACGCCCACATCGACGCGGGACCACACCCAGAGGTCTGACAGAAGAAGTGTGTGGCACACAACTGATGGTTGCCATAGTCCAAGTGTTTGGTTGGCTGGCTGCCTGGCTGCGTGGCTCTGCAGGTGTTGGCTCGTTATATCAATGACAACTTCGACAAGAGCAAGATCAACGTCAGATTCAACAAACTCAAGACCCTCAAGTAAGACCGCTCACCAGCCATGCACAGCTGGCCACTCTGTATGTGTGTGTGTGTGTGTGTGTGTGTGTGCAGGAGGGCCGAGGTGATAGCTCTGCGCGACATCGCGCCAGGAGAGGAACTCTACGCCAGCTACGGACAGGTAAACAGCTGCGCCAAACACACACACAGGTTGAATGAACATTGTGTGTGTGTGTGTGTAGGTGTACTGGCGCGGCTACGAGGCACGCCAGCAGGCCACGGCGGGCACTGCCAAGTGACTGACCATTGGCCATGATGTGTGGTGGCCTGCTGCTGATGTGTTGCATGGAGGGTGCACAACGCACGACGAGTACCTCTGTTGATAGAAGGGTCGGGGCACACTGCATGTGGCGTATGGAAAGAACTGTTCGTCGAACGCTGCCTGCTGTTGTACTGCTGCTTCCTGTGTCCATCCTGTTGGTCTCTGTCGGTCCATCTGCACACCGACATGTAGGCGAGTGTAACATTTCGCACGCACCTGGGTGCAGCACACCATACATCTGCAGAAGGGTGTGTCACTCGAGTGCATGCAAGGTGAACGTCAGGTGAGCTCGCTGGGGGCCAACACCGGGGGCTTGACGTCAGTCATCGCAGAACGACGCCTTTTGAGAGTTTTGTGAGGATCATGGCCAGTGCACCCGACCCCATTGCCACGCAGTCGGCTTCGGCCACCACCACCAGAGACAGGGAGGGGAACCGACGAGTCCCGCTGCAGACCTTCCTCCGAGAGAATATGATGCTCATCCTCCTGGGAGCCTTCGCGGCGCGTAAGCCAGAAGAAAAGACGGCTGACCATGCTCGCTTCTCGATGAGTGATGTTCTTCTTCCCCATCACACGTCTGCAGTGACCGACTGGTTCTCCTTCTTGGAGATGCTGATTGACGAACCGTCCGAGTACACCGTGCCCCCTCAGTGCAAGACCCTCCTGCTCGCGTCTGCCTTCATCTCCACCACCCTGCTCGTCCTCAGGTGGTGGCTCGAGTATCAGCTAGTGAACGCTACTATGGTATGATTGCGGCCAAGATCAATCACGTCTCTCGGGGCGATTGGTCTCATGTGGTGTCTCAGGTGAAGCGCGTGAAACGGCCGTCGAGAGACATCGAAATGGGCGAGCACACAGTGCACTCTCGCCTCATCCAGCCCGGCGTAGCATCACAGGCCTCTACACCCCGAGGGCCCTCTGTCAAGGCACCCGAGATACCCCGCTTCCACCGGCCCGATCCGCCTCAGTGGCTCGTCAGCATGACCCCTTTCTTGGGCAGCATCTCGGTCTGCAATGACAGCATCGACTTGATCAACGTCGTTGTCATTCTGCGGACCAATCCAGGAGCCAGCACTATGGGGACACTCATCTGCAATCTCTTTCTGGATCTCCTCAATGCCGTCGCCTCGGCCTATGAGGCCATGGGCTTCGAAGCCTCGCAGCAGCAGCTGGCGCAGGAGACAGAAACTCTCAGGCTGCGAGGAGACGCACGGGAAATTTCGAAGCTCCCCCAGATGCTCGCTGGTCCCTGTTTTATGGGAGCGATCAGTGCGGTGTTGGCTGTTTGGTTCCCTGCGCTTTCTTGGCTGTTTTCTTTCTTGTTCTGGTTCCTCGGCGTTTTCTTGCCGGTGGTGGGTATCATCGGTATCATTCACGGGTCAATCCAATACTATCACCCTGGCAAGATCTTCGTCGACTACAGCAGATTGGGCCTCCTCCACCTCCTGATTGCCGAGCTTGTCGATGCGACGACTGACTGGATCACATGGTTCACGATCGCGATGGCCAGCGAGAGGGTCCCCACATGGCTTTGGCGGCTCTACCTTCTTTCCCCTTTGACAGGAGGCCTCATGCTTTATCCTTGCCTGGTCGCAATGCTTGAAGCCAAAATCGATGCCAAGGCCCACCAACAGACGATAGGAAATCGTCTTGCCAACCTAATCTGTGAGGATCTTCTGGGCCTGGTGTGTAACATCTTCTTCCTCTGCTATCCCACTTACCAGCTGCAACTGCTCCCCATTGCCAACATCATCCTTACGCTGGCGGTCATTACCTGTCAGCTGATTACAGAAATCAAGGGGCTGCTTCATGCCGAAAAGCTTTTGGCAGAGACTCTGGATGAGAGACACATCGAGGAGCTTCTGAATGATGGAGCGGATCCAAACATGGCGTGCGGTGAACCACTTCGGCGCGCCCTGATGATCAAGGCAGCGGAAAAAACAATAACGACCGCATATTCAAAATCGTTGAGCTGCTGTTGGAAGCCGGAGCAGACCCGAATCTCTACAAGACTCAGGCAGGGGGCTTGGCTATAGCACCTTTGGATTTAGCGGTGACAAAATGGCGAACAGAAAATATTCAACCAGGCTCACGAAGTATTTGCGTCTGACTTCAGGCACTGCAGCCCGAGCTGAACGATGTCGCCGCCCTCCTCGCAGCCAATAAGGCTAAGCACTCCAAGGATTGGCACAAATACGGCGGCCGCACCGACCGGAAAGCCTATGCTGCCATTGTGATGCGGTCGAATGCCCTGCAAGAGAAGAAAGATCGCAACTTCCGCGAAGCGCACCATCAAGAGGTCGACAATGCAGAGAAAGCGTTGAAGGCCGACCTGAAGGCCCTTGCTGATGCAGCTAGGCGAAGGAATTAGACCGGGTATGTGTGCATCATGCAAATCAAACATGTGTCTCGTGGGGACGATCCCTTTGTGCGTCTTGTGCTGTCTCTGTGCAGGCCCACTGAAGGCCCACTGAGTGCAGCCCTTCGGATGAAAGCCTTCACACACGACGTGACTATGCATGAATCAGTCAGCTGAATGGGACACTCAACAATACCTCCAACGATACCTGAAGACGACGAGTTGATTGATTCAGTTTCGCATCTGTTCGCCGTCCAGATAATACTTTCCATGTGCACACACCACATGAAGGCAGAGTGCTGTCACACGAAGGAAGAATCACATCTTGCAAGATACCACCACACCACCCCCACACCCCCACACACACAGCAGCCTTCGATCGATCAAGTGAGACACATCGATGGTCACTGCGGAGGACAAGACAGCCACAGATCTTCTCTCCCACTAGCGCCCCCCACTACACCCCTATATATCCACTTGTATCGCCACACACACACATATGCACACCCCTGCGCTATGTCAGTCACTACTCAATCGTTCACTACAGACGAGTCTGTCTCGTCAAATCTACCCAAAGCCCGCTCCCTTGCCACGTATCTGCCTCTATTGCCCTCTATTGCCCGCTTGCCACAGACCTGAGCGGCAAAATGCCACAGCGACATAGCACGTTTCATGTCTCAGGCTCGCCAGGTCACATCACCACCGACAAGAGCACACACACGCGCAAGCGAACAAACGGAGGACAGAAAGAGGGAGATAGGCAGAGAGACGGAGGCGGGACTCAAGTACAGATTGACTTTCAATTGTCCTCTAGGCGCATGGGCCGTCAAGGGGCGAATGGAGGCACTTGGCACGGCTGTAGCCAACGATCTCAAAGCGCAGCTCCAATTTCGGCTTCATCGGGCTGTCGAAGAGTGTCTCGATCTGCTGCAGGCTCGTCGCCGTATTCCGCCATGTCGTCCTACATACTTTCGATTTGCCTCTTGACCATGTCCTCGATATACTTCAGAGTGAAAGTCCCGGCCCCCACATTATGTCGGCGGCAATCGCAGTGGCCGCCGTATCGTAGTCACCCTCATCGATCATCTCACCTGCCTATACACACACACACACACACACACACAGAGAGAGAGAGAGAGAGAGAGAAAGAGAGACATCCTCGATGTGTCCGTCGCCCGCTCGTTTACTCACCCCAGAGCACTTTGCCTGGGATCGCCTGCTGCTCCTGTCAAGCGCTTCGTGCCTCTTTGATCTCGTTCTTCACCATGGTCTTCCACCACGGGCCGCAACCTCCTCGGCTCGGCCCACGGCCGACCTTGCTGCACTGGCTCCGTCCACCCACCGCCGTCATGACGATTTGCAGTTGGCGATGCTCCTCGCTCTCTGAACCGCCACTCAGGCCAGACGGGGCCTGATGAGAAATGCGACAGACAACAGACACACAGTGTAGAGATGCAACGCATTTGATGCCCCGGACCGCTTTCTGCTTACCGATGACACGGCACACACAATGAGGCCGAGGGCCAACAGAATAAGCCTTGACATGGTGATCTGCCAGCGGTGTGGATCGGAAACGACGAAGCATGATGGGATGGATACAGAGGGCTGACGCAAGGAGGCCTTGAAGAATGCGGAAGGGGGAGCAGCTGCGAGCTCATATGCTCAGATGCCAATTGGCGCAGGTAGATCGCCGAACCGCGCAGATCTGGCAGCCTTTCGCTGAGCCATGCCTCCCCTCCATGCTGTCCTGCCTCTTTTGGCTCTGATCTCTATCTGCAGCACGTGCAATGCGTCAGACATACCCCATCGGGTGGTGCATGGCGATGGCTTTCAGGACTGTGCGGCCGCCATCAACTTGAAGAACTGGACGGGACTACCCAGCTATGACAACTACAGGTGCGAAGCGCATCTGTGTGCTTGAGTGGACGCATGCGTGTGTGTGTGCGTTGCAGGTCGTGCATTTCAGCGTCCAGTGCCGACGTGTCGACCAAGTACTGCCTGGGTGAGCTCACGGCGCTTGGCGGCGTGGCGGGACTCACTGCGGGGCTGTGTCTGCCGGACCACTGCACACAGGCGAGAGGGCGTCGGTGGGCGGTGGGGTGCAATTGTGACGCATGTGTCCATTCATGTGTGTCGCAGAGTAACATCGAGGAGTTCGTGGCGCTGGTGTGTGCGGTTCCCTCGTGTGTCGACATCGAGCAGACACTGCAGCCCCTCTGCGACGCCGTGCAGGCAACCATGTGCGACCCCAGGAACCGGTCAGTCAGTGTGCACACCTCATATAATACACACATGCATCCAACTACCTTAAGCATGGATTGCTGGTGCTACTGTGTGTGTGTGTGTGTGTGTGTGTGTCTGTGTGTGTGTGGTCAGGACGTCGTCCGCACACAACTTTCACCTGTCGTGTCTGGAGTCGGACAGTCCGTCGAGCAGCAAGGGCGAGATGCTCGACGCCACGCTGGCGTGCGGCGGCATAGACCCACAGAGGACACTCGACAGCGGCCTCATCAACAACCTCGGCAACTGGGATGCTTGCAACGACGTTAGTGACCGAGATGGGAGAAGGGGGCGGGAAGGGGAAGCTCGTCTCTCATTCTCTGTATGTGTCTGGGGGGGATTGTGCGTGCAGCTGCCGGGCGCTCGCTACTGCCTGGCGTCCTACGCTCAGATCTTCATCACGTCTGGGCAGTGTGTGGCGTCCACGTGCGGTGTGGACAAGTACCAGCAGATGGTGTCCTTCGCCTGTGAGGTCGACAACTGCATGGCCGTCACCAACCTCATCAACCCGGAATACTGCGCTTTCTGGTACACATACCCACCCCCATGCCCATCCATCCATCCATCCATCGGTGTCTTGCACGCCATATGCAGGAAAACGGTGTACTGCGGTGCAAGGGGTAAGCAAGTGATCCTTGCAGGCGGCCCCAACGACCTCCCCGTGCCGACAGAGATCGATCTGGACGTCACATGCGACTACAGCGCCCCTAAACCAGAGACCGGCACATACGTCACCCTGGCCATCTGCGGCGTCATTGCGGTGCTCATCACGGCTGCAACGGTGCTGTCAGAGGTCAGACGCAGGCGTGCTGAGGGGTTGCAGGGTGTGAGTGTTGAGTTGGTGGGCAAGGACGGTGGTGGCGAGGGCAGGCGAGTGGCCCCCCGTGGTCGTGCTCCTGTGTGGGAGCGGCTGCTGCTGGCCTTCTCGCTCACAGACAACTGGCACAAGATGCTCAGCACACACAGGGTACCCACCCACACACACACACACTCGGTTCATCAATCCATCTGCTTGTGTGTGTGTGTGTGTTTGTGTGTGTGTGTGCGTATTGGTCAGAGTGGTGATGCCGTCTGTTGTCTGGACGGGCTGCGGTCTCTGTCGATCTTGTGGGTGCTGCTGGGCCACACCTTCCTCATGGCGGGCGCGGCCGTCCCTCTCACCAACCTCACGGTAGCACACTCACACACACACACACACACACACAGAGAGAGAGAGAGAGAGGAGGAGAGAGCCACTCATGGACACGTCTGCTGCGTGTTGTGTTTTCTGCTGCTGCAGGATACCATCCAAGTTGGTCAGTCAGCGCTTCTGCAGTACACGCATCTGCATCAACGGAGCTCTCTCTCTCTCTCTGTCGTTCAGTTGGCCGTTTCAGCTTCCAGCTGGTGGTGGGGGCCTTCTTTGCCGTCGACACCTTCTTCTTCCTCTCGGGATTCCTCCTAGCCTACGTCGCCGTCAAACACGCCACGCGGATGAAGACGCGCGTCAATGTGCCCGTCGCAATCATACACCGGTATGTGTGTGTATACGATGACACACACGCACACACATATAAAGTCTTGTGGATGAATGGATGGATGGATGGATGTGTGTGTGTGTGGTCAGGTGGGTGCGTCTGAGCGTGTTGTACGTGTTTGTCATTCTGGCGTGGGAGTACCTGACGCCCTACATGGGCAACGGCCCCCGATGGCCGCAGTTCACAGTCCAACTGCACTCCACTTTCCTCTCGGTCAGTAAGTACACACATGTCCCACACACAACACACACACACACCGGAGGATGGACCCACAGGTGCGTGTGTGTGTGTGTGTGTGTTGCAGAGGGGTAAGGAGAGCGCTTGCAAGAGATACTGGTGCGTATCCAGAGAGGGGATGGATGTGTGGTGTGCGTCGCCGTGTTTCAGTGCCGTGTGCGGTGTGTGTGTGCTGAGTGTTTCGTGTGCAGGTGGGCGAACCTGCTTTACATCAATAACTTCATCCCTCACCTCTACGGCGCCCAGTGCAGTAAGCCAAGCCCCCACACCCACCCCAATTACCTACAGGTCTTATAAGTGTGTCTGTTGTGTGTTGTGCAGTGCCTTGGACGTGGTACCTCGCCAACGACATGCAGTTCTTCGTTGTGGGCATTCTCATCATCGCCATATACTGCGGGTCGTCCACCCCCCCCCCCCCCCCCC